CAGGAGAGGCTCACTAGAGCTGCTTTTGACCTTCCCTGCTTTGCATGGGGAAAGGGGGCAGGGAAGGGGGCAGCAGGTGGTGGTGTGAGGGTCCAGGTCGTAATCATGGGGCATTTGCAATGGCCAGAACTTCCGAGGGCTGATTGTACATCCATTTTTGGTTCCGTTACTGACCAAATGGATGTAAGCTGAGGACTGCCCGGCCTCTTGGACCACCTGACCCAGGTCGCAGGGGCTCCTGTGTGATACCTGGCTGCACTTGCTGTCCAAACAAAGCAGCACCTGACTAAACCTTAAAAAGTTTGGCTACCACAGTAGACAACCAGCAAGGGGGAAGAGGAAGAGCCATATTGGCAATGAACTCCCCCCTGTATCTCCCCTGTAGAACCAGGTAGGCTGTGAGTTTGCGCCCATTCTTCACTTGTGAGAGGCAGAGCAGTCAAGCCACCCCTTGGAGAACAAAACTACAGCCTTGGTTGCAGAAAATGTACACGCACACGCACACGCACACACACACACCAGTAGTGGGATTCAATTTTTTTTACTACTGGCTCTGTGGGTGTGGCTTGGTGGGCGTGGCAGAGGAAGGATACTGCAGAATCCCCATTTCCTCCCGATCAGCTGGGACTCGGGAGGCAGAGAGTACAGGGGGGCGGGGCCAGCCAGAGGGGGCATTTGCCGGTTCTCCGAACTACTCAAACTTTCCGCTACCGGTTCTCCAGAACTGGTCAGAACCTGCTGAATTTCACCCCCCCCCCAGGCTTTTCTGCAGATGGAAGAATGACATTGATTGACTGCTGTGGGCGTTGCTTTAAAAACTCTGGCTGGTTTGAGGCAAGGCAACACTTGGTGCAAATGTGGAAGAATGGAATTAACTTGCAACGCCTTTCCTGTTTTTGTTTCAAAAGTAGCACGAACGAAGATGAGGAGCTGAACCCGGAGCAGAAGCTGGAGCGGGAGCGGGAGCGGCGGATGGCTAACAATGCCCGGGAGCGCTTGCGCGTGCGGGACATCAACGAAGCCTTCAAGGAGCTGGGCCGGATGTGCCAGCTGCACCTGAAGAGCGAAAAGCCCCAGACCAAGCTGCTGATCCTTCACCAGGCCGTGGCAGTCATCCTCAGCCTGGAGCAGCAGGTCCGAGGTAAGCTGGGGCAGGGGGCATACGGGGCCGGGGGTTTCCTTTGCCCCTGAAGGCAAGCGCTGCCTGCTCTCCAGCGTCCATTGCAGACTTGATCCACCCTTTCTAGAGGTCTCCTGTCCTCCTTTGGTGGAGCTGAAAGGACAGTTGGCCTCCCACAAGGAAGCTTTTTTTTATTCCAGAAGTGATGCCATCAAAGCCCCCCACTTTCTATTGGGGGAGGGGGGCGGCAGCCGGATCAGCCTGTGCTTCTTCCTGTGGGGCTTCCTCAGCTGAGGCTTTTCCAGGATGGGTATATAAATGAGATGCTGATGGTATCTACTCAAGGATCTGAAGCATTGACACCTCATTCATTCCATCCCTTCTGCCAGCATCATGGACCCAATTTTTATTCTCTTTCCCTGCCTCGAGGGCTTTGTAAAGAAGTAACAATTGGGAACCGTTCTTGGAGAAAGACGACCCTCGGTCACTGTTTTTCAGCCCCTTCCTCTTGGGAAATTGGGTGGGAGGGCTTGTGTCCAAACCTTCAGATCCTTGCTTAATCTGAGGCTGTCTGGGTGACTTCGCATCAGCCCCCTTTCTTTGCTTGACTTCCTCATGGGACTGTTAGGCATTTCAGCAAGACTGGAGTTCTTTGAAGGAAGAGTCCTATGGAAAATGGACTTTTAAACAGAAAGGCTTCTGGCTTAGTACAAGAATAGGTCAGACCTCACTAGAGATGCCAAAGAGCAGAAGCTGGGAGTGGGGGAGCACTTTGGAAGAGCCTAACATGCGAGGGCTTTTCTGCAAATCCTGCCCCCAGGTGGAGGCTTCACTTCAGTGGGGGCTCAGTGCTAGCAGCAGCTCAAGGAGGCATTTCCCGTTTCTTTCTTGCTTCTAGAGAGGAACCTGAACCCCAAAGCAGCTTGCCTTAAGCGAAGGGAAGAGGAGAAGGGGCCTCTCGTTTCAGCAGAGCCCCCAGCCCCCCATCCAGGAAGCCATCCGGCGCTTAGTGAAGCTGCCACTCCAATGGGACACATGTGAACGTCAACAAGGTGACCTGTTTTACGTCTGCAGGGGTGGGGGGCTGGCACGGGTGTTGGTGGCAGACAGAGATGGCAAAATCCAAACACTTGTCAGTTACACTTTGGTGTTGAGTTGAACTGCAGCATAAGAAAACCCAGACTGTGTGTTGGAATCTTTTACTATTTTAGTCCAAGATCACCAGCACGATTTATGAAAAGCAACAGTCACACTCCACAAAGTGTACGGCTTTTGTTGGGCGAGGCTGCTCAGCTCTGGCGCCTCAGAAGAAGAACGGGGTCCCCGGGAAGCAGATCCTGCAGTGCAGAAGCCAGAGTCCCCCCCCCCCGTGCCCTGTGACTGTCAGTGCTTCAGCATTGCCCTTTTAATGTCCAGATCAGAATCCAGAACTTCCATGTGGAAGAGACCAAGAAGGGGATCTTTTCTTCACAAGGACACTCAACGTAGCATTCAACAGGACCATCTCACTGGAGAAACAACCCATCCGGAAGTGGCCCTTTGAGACCACCACCACCACCCCGGCCCCTGAACAGCGAATGAGCAGCCAGCTCTTCTTCCAGCAGGACCCCCCCCCCCCCCCCGAGACGATGGTGCCTCTCCTCCTCTTCTTTGCGGTTCTCCTGTCGCTCCAGCACAATCAGAGACTCTGATCTCCTCTCCACTTGGTGGGGGAACTGCCTTGTGCCTAAACCGAATGGACAAATGCATTGTAACTACAAAACCTTATTTATTTGTGATGGAGCTGTCAAGATCCATCCTATGAAGGGAAACATTGACGCTCTGTTTAACGCTTGGTTGAGATCCTGGAGTTGAGCATTCCGAGAACGAAGCCACAATGATCCCCCCCTCCAAGCGTCTTAAAGAAGGGAGGAGGGCGGGTGCCAGCTCCCCTTGCTCTGGCCCTCAGACAAGTGTTTCCCGGGTAGGAGCCCTCTGGCGCACCGTCCCCGGCCTCTTGCCTTTTGCCTTCTCCAGCGGCTTCTAAGGCTTGTACTGGGACCGAGAGGAAGCCCCTCTAGAGCGGCCCTGGAGCTGTAAGAACAAGCAGTGCACAACCTGGGTTGAAATCTTGGCCTGGGATGGGAGCAGTTCAAGAGGAGGAGCCAGGTGGCCCCGGTGCCTGGCTTCCCCCCCTTCCTGGCCGCTTTCCCCTGTTGAGGGCGGAGCAGGGAGGGCCTCCCTCCGGGCAATTCCTCCCCCTCTGAACTTCCATGAATGCTGTCTTCCACTGTGGCAGCCCAGCCCTCCTGAGCAAGCCTCTCCACCGGGATTGGAGTGGCTCCCCCACCTTTGAGAGTGTTGTGGCTCTCACTGGTTTCCTTCCTGCCAGGGGAGCCGGATCTTCTGGATGGTTCTTAGCACAGGCTGGTCTGTTCAGTAGCTGTCCCAACGTGACCCTGGGCAAGTCTCTGTGGCTCTGTTCTGCCCCCTTCTTGGGGTTCCCCAGTGGCCTTTGGCTCCTGGCTGGCGACTTCCTGGCTCGGTTGGGCTGTGCAGGATGTGTGCTGTGCGCCCCAAAGTTTCCCTTTGGGAAACCGAGAGAGAAGACGTTTGGCTTATTTTTCACCGTAGGTAGTCTTTTATACAATAATCTTGTAAGAAGTTTCCTGAATTTTAAATATTACTCTTTCTAGATTTTTGAAATCAAAGGTTTTCAGTAAAAAAAATTCTTACTTTATTTTACTATATTAGGTAGTAAGAAATGTAGGGTTGTTTACCATAACCTACCTGTTCATTAATATCAAAAAATTTACAATAGCATTGTAAGAGCATAGTAGGGTTCTAGCATCCTGTGTAGTACCTTATGGAGTATTGTAAGAGCTATTTGTCCGAGATGAATTGCTTCTCATCTTGTTATTCAATTCCCATATGTTGGTTTATTGAAAATTTGTATCTTGTGTCAAATTTCAAGATATTACAGATACACCTTTTTGACCAGCAACAAGCTCAACACTTTTTCTGTCTGTGTTGTCTATCAGAAAACACTATGTATATAGCATTTATGTAGCAATAAATGTGCCATCCTTTTGTAACTATTGTTTCCAGGCAATCTTGAACAATTTTTATGCCATTGTCTACTTTGGCCAAATTATTATCTGCACATGAGTAGGAAGGACATGCCAAGTGATTTAAAGCCACATTGATTTTAGTGTTCAAAAAGTGAAGCCATTCTCCATTTAAATTAAGATTAGCAAGGATGCTGAATTTGTTTCTCTAGATTTACACGGTTCCTCTGTGTGCTGCTTTAAACCATTTGGAACATGCCCAGCGCCCAGGCCTGGTCCAGACAGATGCACATGCAGAGACCAGAGGAAAAGTTCACAAAGGGACCCCACTTTCCAGGCAGAGGCAAGGCATGGGGAGGGCCAGGGACGTTGGCCACAAGTGTATGACACCCAGCTCAAGTGGGGGGGGGGGCAAGGGAAGAGGGGCAGGAGGAACTGTGGGCCTCAAGACAAAATGGCCCAAGATTCTTCCAGGTAGAGAATGAAAGGCGGAGATTGCCTCCCACTTGTTGCTTTTCCAGGCAAATTGCTCTTTCCGTGCCTTGCAGCATTTATCTATTTATGTATTCAATTTATATGGCCACTCATATCAAACAGGTGTTTCTGGGTGCAAACAATCATAAAAGCAATTTAAAGCATGGTATATAAAATAATAAATGAATATAGCAGCTGAAAAAAAATCCATATATTCATACACAGACACACACACACACACAATATCCATATAAGATACAAAATCTTCAAAAATCAGATTACAAAAATAACGACGACGCTTGTAAGGGCCGGCAGAAGGCATTTGCAAATGAGGTGAGAGCCACAATGGCGGTGGGACCCGGTCTGCCTTTAGGAAACGGTTCTTTCCCTCATGGGCTTCTTAGGGGCCCCACTCACTAGTTGCTACTACGGAACAGTGACATACCACCGACTCCACCGAGATTCCTTGTGGTAGAAAACATGAAGCTCAAAGGCCCCAATCAAACTTCCAGCCTGAGGAGTATTTATCAGTCCGAAGCTCCGGAAGCCACTCACGGCGGCCTTTGCTGTCCACCCGGACTCCTTGCTGAGCTGGGAGGGAGGAAGGCGGAGACACCTTGTTGTGTCTTGACCAGCCTCTCAACTCTCCCACATTAGGGATCTTGGGGATCTTACGAACTGCCCAAGGGTGCTTGAGAGTTGCAGTACGCAGACCCCCAGGCAGTTTCAGGAAGCCCCATTCAGAGCAACCTCCCCCTTTGTGCCCCACTTGTGATGGGCTCATAATTACCGTATTTTTCAGAGTATGAGACACGCCTTCCCCCCCCCCCCTAAAAGAGAATGGAAATGTTGGTCTTGCCGTCTGAAAAATACGGTACTCCCACAGAAGGTAAGGTTGGCTGTCATTTTGGGTTGTTGAGCACGTAAGGAAACTGCTGAGAATCCCAATCTGGAGACTTCAGAGCTGTCTTGGACTGGAATCCTAGAGCCGCCTTCCTAGCAACACCAGAATCCACACGGTGGCTTAGAATCCAAGGGAGCGAGCCGCTCTGTTTGGCTTTGCCATCAGTCAATGAGCCCTTGAGCCAAGTTGTGTGAAGGATGCCATTCAGTGAAACCGAGGCTCCTCTTCTGCCTTGTGCTGTCCAACCCTTTAAAGCCATGAGGTACATGCAGCTAAATTTTTCTATCCTCTCCACTCCCAGCGATCCTTTTGTTCTAGCTAGGTAAGTGATAAAAAGACAAAACTAGTTTTGCAAAATTGAGATCATCCAGAACCTTCCTTGGCACCATCGTTCTGCCTCCTGCTTCCGCTCCTCCATCAAGAGCCCCCCCCCCCAACTAAATTGGGCTGCTTTGAAGGCTGCAGTGGGGTGCAGGGGTCTCTCTCATCATTGCCAGATCTTCAGAATCTGCCATTCTGGTGTGACAGCGAATGGGTCTCCGAGCTGTCAAATTGATGAAATAAGAGAGAGCCTTCCCGAGGGTGTGCCTGCCAGCCAGCAACAGCCCACAGTCATCCTGAAGGACACAGCCGTCCCAGGAGCAGGGGACACGGGGCCTCTCCTAGGAAAGAGGGCAAGGGGGTCCTGGAAGCAGCCCCGGCGCGTGTCAGGGGCCTTCAGTTCGCTTGAGCCCGTGGATGCCAGAGTCGAGGCCGGAGCTGCGAGCGTTTCCCAGTCAGTGACCGCTTCCCAAATGTTGCCAAGGAAAATGAGGGACTTGTCGCCTACCAGTCACCGGGAGGCGCCCACACACCAGCAGGTGGCGCTCTTGCCTAAGCTCCAGAGCTCCGAGGTGCCGAAGGGAGACGGGGCGGGCGAAACCCCTGGGGGGTTTTTTTGGGGGGGGGGAGTGGAGGCTTCCCGGGATTTCCTTCCCACGAGTGGACGGGAAGCCTTTCGCCGCCCAGGAGCCTCAATCCGCCCTTGGGCAGAGGGGGGCGGGGGCGGGGGGAGGGCGAGCCCCTTCAGGCAACGGTTCCCAAGGGGGAAAACCTATGGAGATGAAACCCCCCCCCCTTAGAAGCGCTGCTCCCACAAGACGCCTCGCACCGCTGAGGAGCCGCCCGGGGGCCCTTCGCTCCTGGCCGGCGGCAGATCTGGCGGCGGGGCGGCGGAGGAGCCGGCTCTGCTCGGACGGCCCCCATCCCTGCCTGCGGGGGCTCCGGCGCCGTTCTCCGTCGGGCAGAGGCAGGCGGCTCCTGAGCGCGTGCAGAAGGCGGGCGGCCGTCCAGGCCCCGCCCGGAGAGCTGCCCGCCTCAGGTCCCTCCCTCGGCGGCCTGGAAGAGGCGGGCGGCGGGCAGAGGCGCTCGCTCGGCGGGGCTCGGCTCGGAGGAGGACGCGGCGCGGGCCGGACGGAGGTGCGCGGGGCCGGGGACGCGCTGCGCAAGGGTCGGGCGGCCGTCCGGCGGGCCAGGGGCGGAGAGGACGGGCAGGCGCGGGCGGCCTCCGCTGCTGCGCTCCCCCGGGCCGAAGTCGGGTCGCCCGCGTGGACGGCCGGGTGCCATTGCTGCCTCGGCCGGCCTGTCCCGGGAGCCTCTTTGCGGTCGGGCTGGAGGGGAAACTCGGCTCTGCCCCGGCGCCCAACCGGCGTGGCCCCGCCGAGGGCAGGGCAGGGCCCGTCGGGGAGAGCGCCGCAACCAGGCTGAAGGGGCCCGCCGGTCGGCCGCGCGGGGCGTCCCGGGCGGGGCTTTCCCCCCTGAGCCCGGCGCCTGGCAGATTTCCCTCCCCCGCAGGGTTGGCGGTGCTTCTCTCTCGGACGGGAGGCCGGGCGGAGGGCGTCGTTCTGCAAAGTCTTGGCTTTTGCCTTCGAACGTCGTCCAGGGAAGCGGCGATAGGAGCGCTGGAAGGAAGGATAGAGTCTCCGGCGGGGCCCCCGGTTGCAAGGAGGGCTCAGCCCGGCCGCCCTGCGTGGCTGCGCCCAGACAGAAGCAGAGCCGGTTGTGGCTGTCGCCTTTCCTCCGCCCGATTCCTTCCCAGAAGTGACTCCCAGGGTGCAATGAACCCGCGGAGCGTTAGGCGTATTTTAGTGCAAGGCCCCAAGTGGGAGCCTGGAAGCAGCGCCGGCCAAGAGGCCGCCAAGGAGGAGGAGAGCCAGCAGTGAGGGGTCGGGGGCTTCTCCTTTCAGCAGGGAGGGGCTGCTGGGATGCCAGGCTGGGCAGGGGAAGCCCCCTGGCTCCCTTTGGGATCTGATCCCGCTGCTTCCTTTCGCCTGCCCGCTGGGGTGCAATCCATGGGTTTTGGAGTCTGTGCCATCCGTTTCTCTCCAGCTCCTCTCTCTGGTTGTGGCAAAGGAGCCTCTGGGGTTGGGACCTGGACGCCACGACCCACAGGGGTGTTGATTTCCGTGGGACTCCTGCACAAGAGGCCCAAAACCTTGTGTGGCAAAAATATAAGAGGGCGAAGCTGACTCCTTTCGCATGGTGCAGGGATTTGTGGGGAGGGGGGGAGGCTTGTTTGGGATTGTTCCTTGTGCTAAGAAGGGAGAATCAACTGGTTTAAATTTGGTTTTAAATGATTGTTGTAAACCCCAGAACCTTTCCACCTCTGGTGCCAATCCAGTGTAGGTTTCGGCACACCTCCAGCCCCGCAATGAGATTTCTGGAAGAGGCTGAGCTGCTGCATGGGGAGGAGGGCCTTGGGTTCCCTTGGCCTCCCCTCCCCCCCCCCAAGAACTTTTGTGAAAATGATGTAATGTAATTCAAGGAAATGCTGGGACCCCGAGAAATGCCAGATGAATCAAATGCATGTGCAGCGAATCAGAAGAGTCTAAGGGGCCCAACGTGCCAGGAGTGTGGAGGGGGCCACGCCTGGATCCGTAGAAGCAACAAGTGTGCAAAGCAACCAAAAAGGAGAAGCAGCTGATAAGGCAGGTGGAGGAGTCAGAGAAGGAGGCGCACAGCCAGGAGAGAACCTGGAGCTGCTGGTAGAAAGGTTGGAAAGAAGGGATTGTAAGGAGAGGAGCTTTTTGTGCGGAAGGAAGAGGAACACACAACAGAATCATTTGTTGAGATTACAGTCACAAAGAAAGCGGGGAACTTCCAAAGTTCTCACTTTCAGGCTCACCTGCTCACTTCAGTCTGGCATGGCCCTCCCATTCCCATCCGGTGGGCAGAGAGATGCAGAGGCAGGGTCCTCCTTTTAAAACGCTTGCAAAGGGACCCCAGAGACAATCGGTGCCATTTTGCTCGCGTCGGGTGAGGGAACCAGGTCTGAAAAGACAACTAGATATTTTGACCCTGACAAAGCCTCTTCTGGAGAAAAGTATTTGCTCGGTCTCAGGAGTTTGGATTCCAAAAAGGTAATCATTTGTGGAACACCCACAGTGGACTTTGTGAAGTGAGGGCCGCAGCCAGCGTCCACCACGCATTTCCTTGCAGGCCAATCTGTTTACAGGCAAATAAATCTGTTTCCCCTGCAAATCCTGCTCCAAGGACAGTTGTGGCGGGGTGATCCAGAAACCAGGGTTACAGGGGATACACATGTGTTTGAATAACATTCAGAAAGGACGAGAAGTAGAGATCTCCAAAGGTGTAAAACCGAGGATGAGAGCAAAAATGGAAAGTGGAATAAAGGTGGGGAAACAGACATTTCCTCAGAGCCAGGACCCCTCGGCCTCTAAAAAGCAATGAAACAATGTGTGGGGCTGGTTCCCTGTGGATCTGAAATCCGAGTCTTTGACTAAGTGAAAGAAAGGAAATGGGGGGGGGTTGGGGGCCTAAACGCAGCACAGAGAGCAATGGGAGGAAATGACAGAATGATAATTGAGAAAGGAGGGAAGAAAGGAAGGGCGTTTGTAATGCCAGGAGTTGTGTAAAGGCAGCAGGAGGGGAGAAAGGGGGCAGAGGAAAGAGTAGCAAGAGTTGGGGATAGGCTGGAGGCCTGTGTAGGAGGAGCTGCAAGGGAGAAGCGCATCCGGAGCCCCTTGAAGGCCAAGTCCCATTTCCCCTGCCGGAGGAGAGCTGCTTCAGGGGCCTGAGCTGAAGGGAGCCCCCTGCGGAGGAAGGCTCGGCTCGGCTCAGCCAGCAGGCTTGGACACAACCCAGCCATTGTCTTTGCAAACCGGAGCTACCAGTGAAGGTTTCTCTGCGGCTCCCAGTTGTGGCTCTGCCGGAGCTTGGTCGGGGCTTCTCTCCCGGGCTGAGATGGAGCTTCCGTTCTGGGCCCAAAGCAAACCGAGCGTCTTCTGGGAGCTCCTGCCGCTCCACCAAGGAGTCCAGGTCCTCTCCTGGGGTCCAGCCTGGGAGGCTCACCCACCAATCCAGCCCAGCCTTGGCACTAAGCCACCAACCCACAAGCAGTTCCCCCCCCCCCAAAGTGCCCCTTTGCCCCTTGCATTGGGGGTCCATTTCAGGAAAGGAAGGAAGGGGGTCTTCTTTCCCAACTCTTCAGCCCTCCCTTTGGCAGCCAATGGGTGTCCGCTCTGCCCTCTCAGTTTTGCCCCTGCTGATGGGGGGGGGGGTTCTAGAGGGCGGGTGAAACAAGTGTGGGGAGGGGAATGAGGAAGAATTCCATGGTTCGGCTTCCTTTCCAGTCCCCCCCCCCCCCCCCCCCCCCCCCCCCGGGGCGCCTGCCAAGGCCCTTCTGTCAGGAGTGTCCCTTCCCACAAGGGAGGATAAAGAGGCCGATTGTCCGAGCTTGGAGACAATCTGAGCAGGCAGCCTGGCCGCTGGCCATGCTGGTTCAGCCGGGGAGACGCTTCAGCCCCAGCGATGCCATTGGGTGACCGTGTGGCACAGCCAGTGACGCAGCCCAATGACAAGGCTGAGGGATTTGCCCTGGGGACTCGCTGGCACCGAATGGGCCTTGCCTCCGTACTCTTATTGGCGTGCCTGGGATTCGGCTGCAAGAGGCTGCCCCGCGAAGCTCCGGCGTTTGGGTGCCTTTTTCCTTCCTCTGTTGCAGCTGAATTCCTGGATGCCCAAAGGGAGAGAGTGCGGAGCCGAGAGAGCTGAACCACAGCTGGATGCCTCTGCGGACCCAGCTCTGTTTTGCAAGGCAGCCCCAGAGAGGGAGCAGCGGAGAGGCCGGGGGAGGATCCTGCTGGGAGTTTTTGGCTCCAAAAGGGCCTCTGAAGAGCCTTTCAAGCAGCCTTCAATCTCCAGGGAAGAGGGTGCCCAGCCTCGGATCAAGTGTCACTGAGCTTGAAACCCTCAGAACTGGAGTGGGTCTCCTCCACTCCCAGCTTTCTTTAGGAGGGCAGCAGCAGCTGTGCAGGGAGAAAGGGGGGGGAGGGTCTCAGGAATCTGCCTCTTTTTAGGGACACCGTAAAGGGGCCTGGCTGGGGGTACCTAATTGGAGGAGCTCCAGGTCAGTAAAAATACCACCATAAGTAACGTCCAGCTGGCCTGCGTGATTCATAGCCCTTCCAGGGGGAGTTTCCCACCCAGCAGAAGCAGGATGGGGCCCTTGTTGCTGAAGGAAGAGAAAATGCGGCTTATGCCAGGAATTTGAAGGGTGGTGGAGTCTGACAGGCTGCACCCGGAACGACCCAGCTGTCCTAGCTGGGAGACAGTTGAGGATTTGCGTATATATGCTGATGTCGTTTTCTTAGAACTGTTACCGTTTTCAGGAGATGTCTGTGCCAATTACAGCATAGAATCAAAGCAGCATTAAGCCCACAAAATCAATGAAAAATGACAACCTGTTAAGAGGCGGCAAATCGTCTGATGTCATTCGTAGAATCTGTCCAAGCTGCATCTCTCTGGTTATCCCTCAATTACAGGCCCACTTTGTGTGGTGGGTCCACCTGTCTCTTTGCTAGACTTGGTCCACCACAGCCACCGGGACAGACGGTTTCTTATAGCCCAGCTTCAGATTCTGCTCTGATCGGCATTGGAGGCTTCTGTGGATTCCAGAAGATGTGAGGTCTGGTCCGGTGTGATTCGGTGGAGGCCTGGCTTCCTGGGTGTCTTTCCTGATAATTCCTGGAAGTTGGGCTGCTGGAGTGAGTGGTGGAGGGTGTGTGGAATAAAGGAGTGGAATTCCTCTGAAAGTGGCTTGGAGGTCCGGGAGGAAGCACAGAGCTGAGAGAAGCCAGCAGACTTCCCTTCCTTCTCCTTTCCCCTCGTCCAGCTGGAGCCTGGGGTCTAAGGCGGTCTGGGGCTCAGCCTCCCCAAAGGCAGGAGAGGATTCCCAATGGCAAGCCCTGATACAGGGAGGGGGCCGGGCTGCACCCCGAACTGAGTGGGGTCAGAGGGGCAGCCGCAATTGCCCTTTGCTGGCCTTGGAAGCAGCCAGTCCAGGATCTGTGGGGCTTGCTAGCCTGGACTCCAGGAAGGGGGGGGGGCTTGCTTTGGGAATGGAGGCCAGGCAGAGAAGCAGAATTCCTGGTCTGGGTTTAGCGAGGGGGCAGGAGTGGGCAGGCAGCCGGTGGTCCAACCCTTTCAGCTGCTTGAGGCCTGGGACAGCCTGGATCCACTGCCCATTTCCTGCACGTCCGACAGGCCTGTGCAGGATTCGTCATTTGTCCCTCACGCCCTGCCTGGCACCACGGAGCAGTTCTCCAGAAAAGGCATGTTGGAGATGCAGAATTCCAGCGTTGGGGCTTCCGTTTGGGAACTCGAGCACCGGGTCCCAGCGGGAAGTTTCCTGGCTCTGAGCCAGAAGCTGAGGCAGCAGAAAGAAGGCCAGAGTAGCGTTTGCCTCCGCTTGGAACCAACAATATTCGTCCACGGGGGCTTCCAGGGGCTTCCAGGGGCTCTTCTGACGGGAGACAATCCAAAGCAAAGTCTTTATGGCCAACAGATGAACTGAAATGTTAACGAAAGGCGGGGGAGTAACTGATGCAAAACAGCATGGAAAACAGGCCCAGGGCTGAAGAGGGGAGGAAGCGCAGCACATCCTGGGCTTTGCCTGGCGCCCGGGTGGCACAAACAGCACTTAGGGGGTGGCGACCGTACCGGCCGGGCACCCTGTAGGGGAGCATTCCAGAGCGGGGCGGCTGCTGAGCCGGCCGACTCTCCTCCCCCTGTGCTTCCTGTAGCCGGAGGATCAAAGCAGGAGCTGCCAAGCGGGGAGCCCCCCGGCTATGGGGAGGGCAGGAGGAAGGGAGGGTGCTGCTGCCGGGGCCTATAGGAAGGGGGGGGCTGACGAAGCTGGGGTGCCACTGAGCTCCACCTGCATCGCGCGGCCATTTGTCGGGGTGCCTCGCACAGCTAAGAGGTTCAGGAAGGCTTCTCCTTGGGCAAGGTCACCGCCTGACTTCTTCCTCTCTGCTTTCTCCGTAGCTTTGGATTGTGTGAATTATGAAGTCCTCTCCCAGTGGCTTCCGGCAGCGGAACCATGTGACCCCCCCCAAGTTGGCAAGACACGAGAGCCCAAAGAACCCTCCGGAGGCCAAGGCTGGGTCTTACGGAGTCACCATCCGAGTCCAGGGGATCGACGGCCACCCGTATCTCGTGCTCAACAACACTGAGGGATGCTTGTCAGCAAATCTCCTGGGGCCTGAAAACGGCCAGCAGGTTGCAGCTGATCAGCCAGCTCCCGATGCCGCTCTTCCTGCCGTTCAACTCGTCAAGAAAAGCCGCAAAGGAAGTCCCTTTGGCGGGCTCTGGGATGATGCGCCACCCAGTTGGATTACAAGCCTGGACGAAGCCAGCAGGGCAGAGGGAAAGGAAACGGCCTCACCTTTGAAAGCGGAGATTTCCCCAGCCTCTAATTTGCTGAACTTCCAGAAATATCCGGAGCTGCTTCAACCCTATAATCCTGCAAACAGTATCTTGAGTCTGAAGGACCTTCAGCCTCGCCTGCTGAGCAAATTCCAGTCTCTTGAGGAGGAGGAGAAATTGGACGCCAGGCCTCGGACCTCGTCTCTGAAGGTAGCGGTAGGTAGCTCAACCCCCCAATTTGCAGAACTGGCTAAATCAAAACCGAAAATGGTGGACTTGACCAAGCCTGACCAGAACACGCCGCAGCAGCTGGAAAGCCCTGGTGCTGCAGACAGTCCTGGCGGAAAGCCCGCGTGGCTAGCCTCTGGGGCTGGATCTTCTTCACCTGCAGGGAGTTCCCCTGCCTGCCCAGGTCCCAGGAGGTGCAGACCGGACCTCCTCCCCTTCCGCCAACCGGACTCGGCAGGAGCAGCCCTGAATGGTTCCCAGAAATCTTCCTCTTCGTCCACAACTCCGACGTCCGCCGCCTCTGTGTCCAGGTTTTTCCTAGATGACCAAGAATACGCCATCTACGCCGACCACGTCAACCGGCATGAAAACCGGCGGTACATCCCATTCTTGCCCGGAACCGGCCGGGATATTGACACGGGATCAATTCCTGCAGTCGAGGAGCTGATTGAAAAGTTTGACGGGAAAGTTTATCCCCAGAGGAGGGGGAGGTTGGGGTTCAGGACTCGAACTCTTGCACAAAAGCGATCCAAGAGCGTAGACAGCGCCCTGTCTCAAGGACCCCATTCCGACTGCCTCGGTGACTTCGCCCGAAGCTTGGGGAGATCATCCGAGCGATTGGTCCAGTCCTCCCGGGCTTGCCTGCAGAAGCCGCTGTCTGCAGAGAAGAAGGCAGCGTCTCCTGGGGAGCAGTCGGCCCCCCGGGCGGCAGGCAAGCTCCAGACAAGCCCAGGGAGGCGAGAGTCTCCCGGCAGCCACTTCAGATCCCTGCAGCACCTGAGACAAGATCAAAGGAGCCCCGAGAGTTTGCCTTCGAGGTCTTCCACTCTCCCAAGGCAGCTTAAAAGAAGAGATCACAGAACCTCCACTCAAGGCTCCTTCCCGGAAAGCACCGAGAGTCCGGCTCCCTCGATGGGAACTTTTCCTTCTGGTTCGAAACCTGCTCAGGTAACTTGTGGCAACTGAGGCCGCTTCAGTTTGAGCCAATCGGAGGCCGCTCAGCTCCCGCGGTGCCGTCCTGGCCAGGGGGATGGAAGGGGCCACGCAATGCCTGGGGAAGGGAGGCTGCTGGGTGGAGAAATGGGCCTTCAAGGCAGAGGGACTGGCAGTTGCCGGGTATTTGGGAATGAAGAGCTCTGGGTGATTTGCATCCTTAAAGCCACGTTGCAAAATTTAAAAATAGATCACTTTTGTCCTCCATCTCCACACGCAGCAAAGCTGCAAAAACGGGAGGTGGCCCCATTCTGGCTTCCGTCTGCCGGGCGCAGAGTTGCCTTCCGCATCCGAGGCCTCCCTGCGTGCAGCTCAGCTGAAAGGCAGCACGAGTTGCCTGGGCCCAGTTGGAGAGGAGACTCTTCCCCCCTTCCAAGGCCTCCTTTCCACCCTGGGTTTTGTGTTTCAGGTAACGCCTGACCTGCTCAGGGGCCAGCAAGAACTTGCCCGGCAAAGCAATGAGGAGACGGCCAAGCAGATTCTCTACAACTACCTGAAGGAAGGGTGAGTGGGCTCGCATCACACCTTGCCTGTGGCCTGGTACTTTGTCTTGCGTGGACCCAGCATCCCGTGGCTCCCCAAGGTGAAGTTCTGCTCCGATTAATTCGCACAAGAACTCCCTGCAAGCAGGTAGACCCTGCATGTGACTGGAGGATCCAGGGCCTTCGGCTTTCGGACCATTTGAACAAACCTGGGTCTCTTCTCACATTTTAGGACCAGTGAAAATGAGGACGCTACCAAGAGGAAAGTCAACTTGGTATTTGAGAAAATCCAGACGCTGAAATCCAGGGCGGCCGGGAGTCCCCAGGTGACGAATGACAGCAAGGCAAGGGCCCCCTCCTGCCTCCCACGGCAGCCCTTGCCCAGCGCTTGGCAGAGAGGCTGCCGGCGTCTTTGCCATCCTGTGAGGCAGGATTGGTTTTTGCCAGCTCTTCCCCCTCCCCTCGAGCAACACGTGTGTTTCCTGGCTTCTCTCCCACAACCTTTGCTGCTTTCTTTTGAAAGAGCCCCCCAAGGCCCCTCCTGAAGGCCTTATGGGCGGCTTCTTTCATTGCCTCCTGGGGAGTTCAGAGGCTTAGAACAAACGAACCTTATCTAACTGCAGGCGCCTGAGGCTTCAGTGGAAGTCAAGATGTTGGTGGAAGGGAAGCAGCAGTTGACAAAGAAGGTTTCTGAGCTACAGAGGAAGCTGGACGTGGAACTCAAGGTAGCCCCCACCCCCCATTTCCCCATTGGTCACTAATGCTGCACATGGGAACGGAGAATGTAGGTCTTTTAGGAGTGGCTCAGCCACCCATAGGAGCACAATTCAGCTTCCAGCCTCTGGAGGACTGCTGGCTGTTAGAGCTGGTTGATCCAGGCCCGTTCCATGCTAAAGATGGGCTGTGCTCCTTCCCCCAAAGACCCCCTAGTCTTGGCTTCGCCCGGCAGCCTTCAGGAGAGCAAAGGGGGGTCCCATTTGCCATTTCTCAGAAACACTGGAGTCTTTAGAGAGGTGCAAAGAGATTTAATAGATTCTTTTTATCTTTTCCAAAATTTGCTATTTTAGAATCAGCAGAACCTCAAAGCTGAAAAGCAGACGATGGAGGAAGAGCTTCAGGAGCTCCAGCGACAGCTTCAAGAAAACGTGGAGGAGAAAGACACTTTCAGGAGGCAGCTGAAGGAAAGCGAGAAAGAGCTGAGAGAGAACCTGGAGGAGTGAGTTTCCTATGAGTGTGGATTATAATAGTAAATCCAATGCAAACTAAAGAGAAGGAAAGAGAAAGAAAAGAGAATATTGTTCTTCTTACAACAATATTTAAATTAACTAAAGCCTTTTGAGCACCAGGGGATCGTTGGAGAGAGGTTTTCCCATGGACCGGAGGGGACTTGGTCTCACAGGCTGCCTTCATCCCATGGATGGAGCTTCACTTGTTTGCACAGACTGATTTTTGGCATGCCACGGACTGGGGACGGTCCACGGAGCACGGGTTGGGGACCCCTGAACTAAAGATTACGACTGTTACAAGTAAAAGCAAGGAATATAAAATTGGTTTCTTTGATCGAGATTAAAATATGTTGCTATTTCTGGCAGCCCATTATGAGAGTTTCTGCTGACACCAGGACTGAAAAGATGATGGTTTATAGATTTATCCCTGGAGATGGGACCAGATGTGGGATGAAGAGATACACGTTTGTAGCCTTAGAGGGGTTGGAGAGTGACTAAATTTGTTTATACTTGTGATGAAAATTATTTCATTATATGTTTTTCTTTCTTCACTATATTTGAATTTCTTCTTACTTCTCCCTTTTCTTTTGCCTTCCGCTATTTATTCTTTCCTTCCACTCATTCCCTCCCCTTGCAACTTCTCTTTTATCCCTTTGGCCGCTGTGAACTCTGCTGACGTGGATGCAGCCGGCAGAGCAGAGACCTCACGGACGGTCTCTTCTTCCTCCCTTTCAGGCTTTTCCAAGTGAAGATGGAGCGGGAGCAGCACCAGAGGCAGATCCGGGACTTGCAAGATCAGCTTTCCGAGATGCACGATGAACTGGACAGCACGAAGCACATGGAGGACAGTGAGAAGGAGCAACTCACGCAGGTGAGACACTTTTCCTGCCTGGAAGGGCCCTGAGCAGGGAGATGTGGCAGGCAGGCGGGCCAGGCGTTCAGAGCACGGACACAGCCTCCTCCTCCTCCCCCTTTCTCCTCCTCCCGAGTTTAGGAGTTGATGCAAACGAAGCAGGGCCTGCAGGAGATGCTGGAGCTTAAAGACCACCGAGAGAAGACCCTGGCGAAATGCGAGCGGGAGCTGGCGGCCCTGAAGGGCGTCTTGAAGGAAGAGATGGCCAGCCAGGAGCGAGAGATGGGCCGCCTCAGGGAGCAGCACATCCGGGAGCTCCAGAGCGTGGGAGACAGTCTGGCCAAAGCCACAGAGGTCAGTGAGGCTCCCAGCAGAGTCTGCGGCTTCTCGGGGGCAGAAGTGCAGCTCAGCCCTGGTGCCCCTCGCCCCCCCTCCCCCCGGCTGAACCGTCTCCCTCACCCGGCAGGAGGGATGCCAGGGACGGCCCAAGGCAGCGCTTTCCTTCTCCCGCCGTTTTGTGCTGTGCCACAATCTCAGTCCTGGCACCGAGAGGGATCCGCGTTGGGGTTGGGCATTGGGAGTAAAAGCAGGGCTGTTCATCACCGGCTCTTTTACTCTCCTGTCCGTTTTTTGCTTGTTTGGAAGACAGACATTTCCCCGTTTTCCAAACAGACCTTGAGACAATCCATTAATTGTTTTTAATTGGGTAAGTTATGCTTTAAAAAATAATAATTGCCTGTTGTTTAAAAATCTTCACTCGGGTGGCGGCCCTGCCACCGTCTGTGTTTCCACTCCCTGGCAGGGCTGGGCGGTCGGGTGCCCATTCAGAAACCCTTTCTAGGATGCCCTTCCTCTTCCCCTTCTTCTGCCCCCCCCCCCCCAGTACAAGCCAAAAGAGTCCTGAGGCCCAGGCAGCAAAGGGGGTCAGGCCGGCCACCAGGCAGAGCCCCCTCACCTCCCCTCATCTGGGGGCTGCTTGGCGAGGGCTGGGAAAATGTCCTGGTGCTCCGTTTCTGATGGACGTGATCTGTGCCCCACACACACACACACACACACACACACCAGTCCTGTTGCATTTTGCACTGGTTCTGGGCTGCCTGGGACGGCGTTCCCGTCCTGCAGCAGAAGAGGGAAAGGTGTCAGCGGAGGCCCTGGGGCAGAGAATCCACCTGGCCCCCGGGGGGAATGGCAGTTAACGGGTGCCCAATAGCTGGCCTTGGTTGCCTGGGAGGGCTGTGAGGGGGGCAGACGGCTGGTGTGCCCTCCCCCCTTCTGCAACACTCTTTCGGGGTGCTGTTGTTTTCCAGGACCACCGGCCACTTGGCTGGGTGTCAGATTCTTGGGCAAGTCGGCTCTTCTAGCAGCCCCCAAAGCTCCATTTCCCTCTCCTGGCCCCGGAGCTCACTGGAGCAGGGAGTGGGGTAGAAATTGACCTCTCTGGAGGAATCCCATGGCAGGGAGGGAGAGGCCGGACCACCCGCCCGTGCCTGAATGGCACTTTTCAGGGGGGAAAATGAAGTTTTGGTGGCTCAAAGGTGGTGGCTGCTGCAAATGATGGTTAGCTGTGGAGCAGGAGGTGGATTTGCCTCCTGGGGAAGGTGGGGTTGGGGCAGCTCTGCTCACGGCCCCCCTGACCACCTGGGAGCCAGGACAAGAGGGGGGAGGGGAGGGGGAGGCTCTTTCCCTGGGGGACTGACCATCGGCCTTGCCGGGTGTCTCCCGGGTGCCTCTTTTCTGCCCGGAGACTGAAGGGGAGCAGGGCCCACGGTGTGGCCGCCCTCCGTCTCTCCCGCGTGGGGCTCCTCCTTCCAGCCCTTATTTAAAGTAGTTTCACAACTGGTTTTTCCGTGGGAAGCACTGGAGCCGCGTCCTCCTCCGGAACCCCAAAGGAAACAACAAGAGGGAAAAAAGCATCAGGGATAAACATGCAAGCAGGTTTTTTCCCTTCAGGAATGAGCCATGCAGGAGGCGCCTCCAAGGCCAGCAAAGTGCTTGGGAAAGTTTTCCCTACATTTTCCCAGCATTTGAACTCTGAAAGAGGGGCCGGGGGGGAGGGGGGGCTGCCATGGCCTGCCCCCTCACTGAAGCCTCTTTACAGCCCAGTGGGGGGTCTGCCAGCTCCATCGGGCCAAGGCTGAACCCAGGCAAGGTCACTGTTAATGGGCGGCAGGGATTTGCCCAACAGGTCCTTGGGCTTTGGGCCATTCGCTCCTGAGCTTCCCCAAATTTCGACCTCTCAGGATTCGGCCAGGCTCCCCCTTTCCTGCCGCTGGAGATGCCCCCCCCCAGGCCCTGGAAGAGCAGCAGCAGCAGTGGTGGTGGACATCACGGAAGAGCGCTAGGGCCACCCCACCCCACCCCCCAGGCTGGGCCATTCCTCCGGATGGCCTCGGAAGGACTTGTTCTCCTGAACTCCAAGGCCAGTCGGACGGGCTCTGGAAGCGCCTTGTTTGCGTTTTCTGGTGTTCTCCGAGCCTACCTGGCTCTGTGAACAGGTGATCCTGTCCTCGGTTTGTAGGAATCTCGCCCGGCCAGTTCGGTGGCTCTGATGCAGGGCTGTGTTGACAGGACTAATCACACTTTAACCCTTGGAAGAGTCGCCATGAGCTGCATTGCGCTGAGCAGGCTTAATGCAAACAAACACACAGCTCTGCCTGCCTGCTCTGCCTTTCAATGTGCTGAGGACATCCTGAACCAGGCGCGTTGGTGCCCTCTGGCCAGTCCTGCTTCCTGGCGCTGGGGAAGCCGTGCCCTGCTCCACCTTAGCATGGAGAACCGCAGCCCTTCGTGACCTGGGAAAGGGGCCCTATGACTTGCTAATGAATCCCAGCTCTACGTTCCCTCATTTTCAGGGAGCCTTCTATGGCCGGCCGGAAAAGGTGTTGCTCCTGTTTAGCTTGATTGCGCTGTCCTTGTGCCTGCAGGCAGATTTAAGTCTTCGTCCTCAGCTCCCCTCCGCACAAGACGCCCGGTGCATTTATCCTCGGTCCCTTCTGGCTCTTGGGCTCAGCAGCCTAGGAAACTGGACCAGGCCTTGACCTCGCCCCTGCACCCCCACCCCCACCCCCACCCCGGGAGAAGCATCCTTGCTCTTCTTCTCCTGGCCTGCTGGGGAAGGCCTTCGCTGAAGACAAAGGCTCGGGGAAGTCAGGACAGAGGCCGCAAGAGCCTCTGTGGAAGCTCTGCTTTCCATTCGGCCTGCCTCAAGCCCACAGAGGCAGGGAGTGGTCAAGAAGAGCAGCCCCCTAGCAGCTGAAGACCCTTCCCAAAGGTCTCAGGGCAAGGCCTTCTCTTGTGGACCACTGGAAGCAGGCAGCTGAGAGAGGAGAGGCCGGTTCCCAGGGCCTTACAGTGGCTGACGTCCCCTCTGCCCCTCCTCCTCCTCCAGGCCACAGACAAGCATTTAGGTGGTCATCCTCTTCAGGGCAAGAGGCCTCCCTCTTCCCAGTCAGGTCCCCTGGGCTGCCTGCCTGTGCTGGGCACCAAGACGCCAGGCGGAGATGCCGACCAGGCTCCCTTGGCTGCTCCCTCCTCAGCCTTGCTGGCATTTCAGGGCGAGGAAGGAGTCAAATGGAGCCCCCCCCCCAAGCCCCCTGCATCTCCCGTGAGGGTCAGCCGGTCTCAGCCCTGATCCGAGTGTTTGCCTTCCTAGAGGATTGGCTCCCTGTCCAGTGCGAAGGCCGAAGCAGAGAAGGAGCAAAGGAGCCAGGAGGGCCGTGTGGCTGAGATGGCCGAGCAGAACGGGCAGCTGAGGAAGGCCCTGGCACAGCGGGAGCAGCAGCAACAGGAACTGCGGCTGGAGCTTGAAATTTTGAGGGGAGGCAAGGAGGAAGCTGAGGGGAGGCTGAGGAGGTGCATGGTGAGTCTGAAGTGAGCAGCAGAGGGGCTGGGCAGGAGGGAGGAAGGGGAGGGCAAGCCCCTCAGCCTGGCTCCCATTTTCTTCATGGCATGAAGCCAAGCTACCGTTGGGGTTCGCTTGTAGGAAGAGGCAAAGAGCTCCCTTCGCCTGGTGGGGGGCGTCATCAGCAGAAGTCACACCTGCCATCTCCTTCCTCCCAGACGTCTAGCTGCCAGCCAGATGCCAGGCGCCTGCCAAGGGCCCCAATTCCACCAGGGGCCGTCCAGGGCCCTGGCACAAGAAGGCCGCCCTTGGGTCTCCTTCCCTGGCATTTGCCATGGGCCTGGGAGGAGGGCCTGGTGGGGGGCCGCCTCTGGGCAGCTTCACAGACCGTACCCTTCTGCCCGTCTGCGGCCTGGCCTTTGCCCCTTGGCTGGAGCTCCAAGAGGGTTCGCAGCCTTGAAATCCAGGGCTCCCAAGGCGGGGTGGGGCTGCTGTGGTTTGTTTAAAGGTAGCCAAATCAGGAAGGTTTTTGTGGCACCATTTTTCTTGTTTTGTTGCTATTTAATATATTGGTTTTGTTGTTCTTGTGAGCTGCCCAGATTTGCTTGAGATGTGCAGGCAAATGAATCCTTTGAATCTGTCGATCTCTCATCCTGGCAGGGAGAGGTGCAGTCCTTGAGCCGGGCCAAGGAGGAAGCCCGCCAGCTGCTCTCGGCCAAGGTGTCTTTGGACGCCCAGCTGGAGGACGCCCAGGTGAGAAGGAAGCGGGTGGAAACACGGCATCCCAGGAAAGCTTTGTGGGGTTGTGTGGAGCAGAGAGTCTTGGCACGTGGCAGCTGTGCACGAGGCCGTCTCGGTCGCTGTCAGTGCCGGAGAGGAGGCGGCGGTGGTGGCGGCTGGGTCTGCCTGCTAAGGTTCTCTCCACAGCTCCTCTCCCTGAGCCTCCCTCTCGCTCTCTCAGCGGCTGTCCCATGGCAGGGTGCAGCGGAGGCCTCCTGGTCCCTCTGGTGGTTGGAGGGTTCTGCTTTGCCTCCCCCCTGCTAGCAGATTCCTGGTGGCTGCTGCAGAATTTGGGTCTCATTTTTCATTTTAAAGATTTTTTAAAGGTGCATGTGGAATACCTGGGCCCGTTTACTCATTTATTTCCCACCATTGTTATTTCTACAAACAAGGCAGGGAACGCCTCCTGCTCCTTCCCCCCCCCCCCCAGCAGCAACGCTTCCCCTGTGGTGTGGGTTGGACTGGGGGGCAGGGAGGGAGGGACTGACTCAAAGTCACCGAGTCGGGTTTCATGCCTAAGGTAGGAGTCAAACTCACGGTCTCCGGCCTAATGCCTTAACCACTAGACTGCACCGCCTCTGCAGGTAGCACTTCACAGCCTCGAGCTGCCTGCAGGGGTCTCACCTGTGTTGGGGGTTAGCTGAAGGCACTGGTGGGGACAGGTTTGGTCAAGTGGGGAAAGCCCACGGAGCTAGCCTGGAACCGGCCGTTACAGTGAGCCTGGGGTAGTGCTCTGCCCCTGGCCACTGGAGTCCTCTGGGGCCTCGGTGGCCTCGGCCCACGCAGCCACGTCTCCCTCCCTCCGCAGAGGAACATCGGTCGGCTGAGCCAGGAGCAGCAGCAGCTGATGGGCCGCCTGGAAGTCGAAGCTTCCCAAAGAGATCAGCTGCAGAAGACAAAGGGCGAACTGGAGAACGAGCGGCGGCAGCTGGACAGAACGGTTGAAAGGCTGCAGAAGGAGGTAAGTTGCCCATCTGGCCCCGAGAGTTTGGGACTTCTGGGTGAGATTAGAACTGCCAGCCCCCAAAGTTCCCGAGGAGGGGGAGGAGGAGGGAGAGACACACACGAAAACAGCTGGCAGCCACATCTTAAGGGGGGCCGCATCTTCTGGTTTCCAAATGAGGGTCCACCTCCAGAGTCACTGCAGGAACGCCTGGAAATCCCTTGCAGATGCTTTCAAAACCCAAATGGTTCTGGAGTGGACTCTCCTGCTCTTCCCTTGGGGTCCCCGTCCTCCCTCGTCAAGCTCTGTGGAGCGAGGAGAGCAAAGCCATGATCCGAAAGCGATTGTTCCTTCTAATTAGGACGTCAGCAAGTCTTGCTTGCCAGTTCGGCCCAGCTTAGGAGGAAGAGGGTCTTCCAGTGGGGTTTGGGCACCTGCCTTTGCCCCCTGGGGGGGTGGGAGTCTGCCTGGGCCATTGAGAGGCTGCAGCTGCCCTTCTTCCCTCCTTGGAAATCTTTTATGCCCCCCCCCGCCCCCATCTCAATGGTTTTCTCCTGGGTAGATGGCAGAAGTCCGTAAAGTCTCCCAGGAATCAACCCGGCAGCTCCAGAAGCAACTGGACGAGTACAAGGAGAAGAGCCAGCAGCAGCTGGTAGATTCACAGCAGCAGCTGAAGGGCAAAACCCTGGAGCTGGAAAAGGCCCACCAGACAACCCTCAAAATGCAGGAGCAGGTATTGGCCTCTGACCCCCTAGTCTTCCTCAGGCTCCCTCCCTGCCTCAGCTGGAACCAAAAACATCAATTAAACTCCACCCAAACTGGAAATGACTGGAATGAAAACAGCCCAGCGGAACTACAGGTAGTTTCAGTGGATGAAACTACCTGTGGCCAAAATAGACAAACAGCTAAAAATACCCAAGTGAGGCTGTCTCCCAGTTGTGTTGTTACAACATCAGCAGGCATCCCTCGCCCCACTTGACCAAGTCTGTGGTGCCCCAACAGCTGGCTCGGTCCCAGCGAAAGCCACGCCGGGGCCTATGAGCCTAAGGTCCAGCCGCCCTTGCTGGAGGTCAGCCCAGCCGGTGCTTGTGGGAGGTCTGGCCGAGGGGAGTCTGCCCGGGACCGGCTGGTACTCCCAGTGCCAGGGACAAGCAAGGCAAGCTGGAAAAAGCCTAGAACAAGCCAGAAGGAGTTCTAGGCCGGCTGCTGGAATAAACAGACAGCTCTTAAGAAATGTCAGTCGGAAAAAGAAACACCAGGAAGCAGATTATATAAAGCAAATAAAGTTGCCATTTCTTAGGAAGCTCCCTCTTCCCTTTAGCCCTCAGCTGGGGGGGGAGGGAGTTCCAGCCCCTGGCCTGGCAGCCTCGTGTTGCATGGCTGCCCCCTTGTGGCTGAAAAAAGACTGCGCACATGCTCTCCGAAAGTTCAGTGCTCACAAGTGAACTTGCGCTCCGAGGAACGGGCTGAGGGGCTGGATGAGACCCCTGGGCAAGCAGTTTGTCCTCAGGATGGCCGCCACCTGCCCACAGAAGACCCCCCCCCCCAGTCTCCCCAGCTGTTGCTCTGCAGAGGTAGCCATGCTGCCATCCCAGCTAGGAGCCCTTGGCCCCCAGGACTGCCGGGGGTGGGTCAACCCGTTTCTTAAACCAGCACCACCACATCTCACGGCACATAAAGACCAGAGGAAGGTGCTGCACGGTCTGCAAGCTCTTTCCCCCTTTCTGGAGCTGATCTGGATCCACCCAGGAAAAGAGGCGGATTACCTGGTGTCTCTACGGGAGACGATTGCAGAATCCCCCATGGTTTCCGTTTATCGCTCGCTTCTCCTTCAGGGAATGGGGTGCGGTGGAAGAAGATTAGGGCTAGCAAGCCAGAATTGAAGGTTGGCCTCCTCTGGACCTTCACAGACCTGAGTCTAGTGGGGATGGAGGACACGTAGGATCTGGGTGTGCAAAAGGCAGAAATATTCCCTTGCCTCTAGTTCTACCTGCCCACAGCAGATGTCTACAGAGCATATTGGGGAGAGGTTTGTGGGACACTTTTCTTTGACTTTCAGGTACGTTTTATGGAGGAAGAATTACAGAGTCACAAAACAGCCCAAAAAGAAGCCCTCACCAAGACTCGGCTTCT